AGTTATGCTTGATTCAGATCTTAGATTGCCCCTTGTTGGGCTTGTCAATTAATGGGCCTCATTCATGGGTCCATAACACTGCCCATATATATATATATATATATATATATATATATAGGAAAAAATATTTCTCCGGCAACTTGAGATAAGTTTATCTTCGGCCACTCTAAAACTACGTCATTTTATTTATGTATTTCCTCATATTAATTGATTCACCTTTGAATGGTTATGATTCTCTTTTTCTCTCTCTTCCTTTATAATCATTGATTCATCTTTGTACGGTTATGATTTAGTAGCCGGAGATAAAATCATCTCAAGTAGCTTGAGAAACGATAAGCCCATATATATATATATATATAGGGTTTAAGTTTTCTTATGTTGTAGGATTGTAGGAGAGAAAAAAAGTAGAGAGAAGTTAAATGTGGGTCCCATATTTTATATTTAAAAAGAAAAGAAAAATTAATTGGCACGGAAAACTAATTTGAGTAGGAAATTGATTTACTCTCATGTAGCATGAGAGTATTATTTCCCATATATATATATATATATATATATATATATATATATATATATATATATATGGGTTTGTTTTATGTACTGTGACTGCACCTAAGCATTGGTGCAGTCATATAAAACTACGTCGTTTTATAGTGTGAAAGAATTAACTATGGGGAATCATAACTATAAATAATATAAGACATTAAATATGGAGAATCATAATCATACAAGAGGAAGATTATATTTACAAACTTTTTGTTTACAAACTACACTATGTCTGATCGGTAATACACTCTTAAGTAAAGTATTACCGGTCAGACATAGTGTAATTTGTAAGTTTGTAAAAAAAAGTTTGTACACAGATCCTTCCCCGTCATACAAATATGAAAATAAATATAATATTTATATTTTCTATAATTAGTTTTAAATGCGAACTTTATTTATCCCACTCAAAATGAATATATATATATATATATATATATATATATATATATATATATGAGGTAAGATCCTTTCACACCGGTGTCAAATTTGAAATTTGACACCACATCTGATAGCCGTTAGATAAAAAAAGATCAATGGTGTTACATGCTTAGGAATCAGAGTCGTTGATCTTTTTTGATCTAACGACTATCAGATGAGGTGTCAAATTTCAAAATTGACACCGGTGTCAAAGGATCCTACCTCTATATATATATATATATATATATATATATATATATATATATATATATATATATATAGGGCTTAACATTTCTGCAGCAGCCGTAGATAGTGTTATCTACAGCTGACACAAAAAAGTGGGCCCCACGGCTTTTTTAAAAAAAAAAAAAAAAACTCAGGATCCGTTGCCGTATCCTAGGATTCGGACGCGGATCCTTGCTTGCTGTAGGTACAGCAGCTGCAGAAATCATTTTACCATATATATTGAGGAAAATATTGAATGATTGTTTAGAAAGTGAACAATGGCCATACGTTGTAAGCAAATCAAGATAAATCTTTGTTGCACTCTAACCGTCTTACCCTATCTGTCGGTTGCTTTTAATTTGTTACTTATGCTTGCTTTGAACATCATTAATTGTTACCTTTTGGAATCGTATATTATATTTGTTCAGATGCGTACCTTTCTAAATTACTTTGAAGAATGACTTTTGGTTTGAAGGATGTGAACTGGAAGCAAACCCATTATGTTTCTTTTTCTTATATATAGAAAGTTTGCTCTTTTAAAATTCTTTTTAAAAAGAAAAAATATTCTTTTTTGATAAATTAGGTCTTATTGAAAACGATCGGATGATGATGGTAAAATGTTATGCTGCTTTATGGAGCTATGGAGACAGGCAGAGGATAAAGGAAAAAAAGAAATATCTTTTAATTATGAACTGCCATTAACGAAGCACGATAGTTACATAACATTGTCACATGAAAACTACAAATACCTATTCTTAAGAATCAATGTTTTTAAAGAAGATTTTTTTATATAAGCAAAAGCAAGCACTTGCACGTTATTTATATAGTTTAATGAACCTCATACTTTACATCTATTAAACCGATTAAGGAATTCCTCAAAGTAGTTTGAGTTTTGAACTAACATTTAAAGGGATTATTTAATTCTTCTAAATTAATATATTTGGTAAATATCAAATATATACTTTTAATATTGTTTGAAAATGAACTTAATTTTCCCGTAAAACTTAAAAAAAAACATCATATCAATTAAGTATGATTATTTAGAATAACAAACTTTGACAATTTGACAAGCTCACGCCCATGGGAGGGGCCTATTATCAATGGATTGCTTGGCCCAATCAATAATAATGGATCCAACTTTATGTCTCAACCAAAATTTTAAGATATTAAATTTATAAAAATTTTAATTATATCAATTTCAATTAATCTATTTTTAATCGATATGAGACATTATTCTTCATATTTAGATTCCCAACAAAATTGACTTATTTTAAAAGATCTAAAATTAATTAAATGATAGTAGTTCAGTTAGTGTTAGAAAACTGAGCAGGTAGGGGTGTAAACATATGTTCAATCCTCGACAATACCGTCTTTGGAAAGGGTTTAAAGCCTTAATCCCGAGATCCCCTCCGAATCGGACTAGTCACGAAGCGATGAACCGATTGAAATATATCAAAAAATAAATAAATCTAAAATTAATGTGCTTTTTTCTTTTCTTTTCTTTGGCAAATGCATGTTTCTGTTTTAGTGTGTTTTAGAACATGTATTCACAAATATCACTAAAAAGACACACATAACAAGTTTTAGTTCAAGTGGTACTTATCCTAACATACAATTTTCAATGGCCAAAAATAAATCTTAGCATTTCCGAAATTTTCAGTTCACACAAAGGTTTCCATGAAACTTGGCATGTGCAATTTTAGAATACCAACAAAGAGATGGAATAAGTAAACATATGTTTTTTGTCTTACTAAAAAAAAGGTAACGCAAGGGAGCATATAGTGCCAATCTCCCAATCAATTTTACAGTTTGCACTAGTTTGTTTGATCAGAAGCCTTGTCCAACTTTCTTGTTTTTTCTTTTTCTGTCCTTGACTTATCACTTTCTGTCTTTAGTTTTCGTGGTTTAGCAGCAAAATTGATGTACACATTACAGTATTTTCCGCGATTTTAAGAGAAGGCAAAAAAAAAAAAAAAAAACCTACTTTGTTTTAACTCCTACTCCAATTTGAAAATGAAGAGTAGAGTACCCCAATAAGGAAGTAACATCATCAAATAATAAAAGGTTGATTAACCTCTGAACAAAGCTGGCGAAGCAACACAAAGTCACAAACCATAACATTGCATAAACATGAATTCTTCAACCAAATCTATAAGCAATTGGGTTAATCGAGTAAACAAGTTATATTATAAAATAAAAAATCCAAGATTTGATGAGATAAGTAAAATTAAAGTTGAACATTGAGATTAATAAGAGAAAAAAGCTTGCAAAAAAATGTTTTTATTGTCTTTGGTTGCAAGTAACAATGAGATTTTTTTGTACTACCACATAAAATCCTTACTTTATATTACATAAATCTCAAGACATCTCGTTAATGTCGTTGAATTAATGTATAGAAATGACTTAAAAACTGATAATTTAAAATAAGTATCAAAATCCGGAATGGTTATAATTTTCAAAAATAAAAAAAAATGATTTGGCCATGAAATAATTAAAAGGATTACTCAAATAAGTAGAATCAAACAGCCTCAACTTTTTTTTAATACATAAAAAGGACCATATCTAGGTAAGATTTGGGTTCAATATGATAACATCATTGAAAGCTAAAATTAAAAAAGCTTTGATAACAAGGTTGCACAAGTTGAGCAAGAAACCAATTTAGTTTATTGGGATTGATTGTGAGAGATTATGAGTTGTGCTTTCTGGGTACGTATTAATGTCATAATGTGTCATGTTTTGGCAAGTTGGGCTCACACAAAAGATTCCGTCATGTGCACGAAATGAAAGAATCTCCATGGAGTAACGAATTTTGAAACGAATCTTTCTAATTCTGCGGAGTATTCAAATGCGGTGACGTTTTGACATTACAAGAGCACATTTTGTTTTACACGTGGTGAAACCTTGATTAATACGCTAATGCCAATGAATTATCATCATCAATTAATAAATTAATTAGGCATTAAGTGAGAGGATCACCCCGTGATGACATAATAATATGTTGGTTTTTATTGTTTTATCACAAATTCACAATTGGTTTTTTTTTTGTCCAATAATGGTGTGAACTATCAACCACATAAGAGTAACAATTCATGGCTATTTAATTAAAGATTATTTTCTAAGAAAAGGAATTACCAAACGTTATAAATTAAAGAATATATTCCGAACAAAATGGAAGTTATCTCCAATTGACCACAAAATATTTATGAGTTAGTTAAAATAAATAGTTAATTATTGATGATAATCAAGCTTATAACTTAAGGGTTGGTCTAATGATTAAAGAAATATGCTTCCTATTTCGATTATTTTGAGTTTTCTCAATATACATTCCGTCGACAGTCAAAGATTAATCTTTTCGAGGCGTAAAAATTACCGAAATAAATTTTGCTTCTACCAACAAAGTATTTTTCATACGCACAACCAAATATTGAATCATCAAACCTCTATCAATATGATTAAAGGACTCAATCATTTACCAACTGTGCCGGGTTTAATCAATTCAATATCCTTCTAGTTCAATAACGTGTTTTGCTCCAATTTTTAAAATGTGGGAAGTAAAGAAATTAAAATAAAAAGACATTTCATCTTGCTCTAACTTGACTCATCATTTATACCAATTCAAATCCCCATTTTATAATCTTATCCATGGAAACTCATAGCGAAAATCATGGCACAAATGGAATGGAGAAAAAAAAATGGAGCCCACACATTAAAGGTGTAAACTTTTGATTGAACATTTTGTTTGGTTATTGCATTTGCTTTTGCTTATATAATAGTAAGCATATGGGGCATTCTTGTCCTCAGTGCTATCTCTATCTGTTACTATGCCAACGCATTGTGAGGCCACTAGTACCTAACACACACACACCTAAGCTTTTTGGGAACTTAGAGTTAGCATAACAGTTACCTTCTTCAACCATAATATCTCAACTAACCCTCCCTCAATCTCTCATTTCTCTCTCTCTCTCTCTCTCTCTCTATATCCTTATTCCTATCAAGTTTTGAACTTTCCTAGATAAGTGCAAGTTTCAGCACTTTTTGTGCATAGAATTTCTAACTACTGTGTCAGTCTTAGGAAAAAGAAAAATGACAGAGCAGCAACCCAAAACTGCAGAGACAGAATCACCATCTGTTCCTCCTCCACCTGAGACTCAGCCTCCACCACCACCACCACCACCTACTCCTCCTCTTGCACCTGAACCTGAGGCTCCAAAGGATGTGGCTGAGGAGAAATCAGTAATTCCACAACCTCCTCCAGATAACAAACCGGATGATTCCAAGGCTCTTGTCTTGATTGAGAGAATGAGTACTATAACACTCCCTGTTATGTTATCTAGAAGATTGGTATTGTGTAGTTTTGGAGTTTGGTTGGTGAGAAAATGATTACAGAAAGAAAAAGAAAAAAGGAAAAAAAAGAAGAAGAATTTTTTGTGCTTATTATGCTTTATTTATCTGCTTTTTCTTTGATTGATTAAGGGAATCAATTCTTATTGATTCCGAAGGGTTTTTTAAATTAACTATCTTGTAAAAATTCCTCCTCCTTCTTCTTTTTAATTTCTCTTTTAAGTTACATGATGGTTTCATTAGAGGTACAAATTTTCTAAAAAATTTGTGCAATATTAGTATTTAAATGTGATATATTTATTCTTCTTGGTGTTCTGTGAATAGTATATGTTCCCTGTTTTGTTTTTATTTAACAATTATGAACAATCATTGAGAATTGATTTTAATTGCTGAGTACAGGTTGTTGTTTTTTTATCATTTCTCTTCCTTTTTGGATAAAAAAACAATTCTCTTGTTATTTGATTATTACTTGATTGTTTGTGCTTCTTGTACTTTTCTCTGTTTACTTTAGTTGGAATTTTCCTGTTGTAGTTCTATCCAAAACAGTTTATTCAAATTGCTCTGCAGTCTTCCACTTTTAATAGTTGACAGAGTGGTCCTTCTTTAAAATCTAAGCCTTGTGCAACAATAGTTTAGCATTAACGTATTAAACTATTATCATCCAATCAAGCTCCTTAAGAATCTGGCCTTCATGCAAAGATCCAATTTTTCTTATTTTAGGTCAAAATACCTGCAAATTCAAAGGAAGAAAGCACCTCCACTACTTTCCCTTGTGATTAATATGTTATAACATGTAACCATTTTGATGGTTTACAGGTTGCCCATAATTTCATATTTGTTTACTTACCCATATTTGTTATTCATTTCACAAGTCACCTTCACTAGGCCTTATGATTCAAATGTTTCTTAGCATGACTATTTTTTAGCCACTTTTGGTTTAATCTTCTTAGAATTCTGCTATTGCTGGAAATCAGCTATTACCTGTACTTCATTATAATTATTAAAATAAAAAAATAATGTTCAACAACCCTCCCTCCATAGAGTCTTAAACAATATGTGCATTTTAGTTGCTAGAATCACCTATCATTTATAAAACTCATTTGTTTAATATCCAAACAAGTCATTTCATACTAAAATTATTTTAACCTCCTTAAAATTCTTCATCCAAACAAAGGAATTTTAAAAATGATAGGTTCCCTTTGCCTTTATATATGTCAAGGATGGATTCCCTTTCAATGTCAATCTTGGGATCAAGTTAAATGCCATGTCTTGTTCATCATTGTAATTATGACCATAACCACAATCATTACATTTGTTCTTGTTAGAGACTCGTGAAGTTGCTGAAGAGAAACCATCTGAGGGCTCTGTCAACAGAGGTATGTTAATTATCATTATGACATTTCATTTCCCTTTATGCACTTTTCATATCCTAACCTTACAGATTATGGGACCTCATTTGTCTTCAGATGCTGTGCTTGCAAGAGTTGCAACAGAGAAGAGGCTGTCACTAATCAAAGCATGGGAAGAAAGTGAAAAATCAAAAGCAGAAAACAAGTAAGAGCTTGCACCACATGCTTCAAATAGTATGTGGATTTAGTAGTGTCAATCAAATAATTATTAAAAGTCTTTCATGATGTCACCGTAACCCTGGTAATTAATTGTAAAGAACCAATTCAACCCAAAAGCCTAAGCTGTTGGATGAGGCTATATTAATGATTTTATATATCTCAACACGCCCCCTCACATGAGAGCCCACTGGGCTTGAAGGGTGAACAATGCACAAGCCCACCTACCTGTGCGAAGAAAGAAATTCCACTAGAAAGAAAGTGGAGGACGGTGAGGATCGAACCCGGTACACCGAGGCTCTGATACCATGTAAACAACTAATTCAACCCAAGAGCTTAAGCTCTTGGGTGAGGCTATATTAATGATTTTATATATCTCAATATTAATCAAGCATCAAATTCATGGTTCTTTATTTTGGAAACAGATATATGTAAATTCCAAAGATCTTTGTTTTGCCAATTTACCATGAAGCTATAACATCATGCTTTCATGTTTTATCACATACTGTGTGTCTTCGATGTTAACAATGTTTGAATACCAATTTAAATGAAATTGTTGAACAGAGCTCACAAAAAGCTTTCAGCTATTTCAGCATGGGAGAACAGTAAGAAAGCTGCTGTGGAGGCTGAATTGAAAAAGATTGAAGTAAGACTTTATTTCATTAGTAATTCTAACATGTTTTTTGAGAAATTTTTTTCCTCTTTCGGGATTATTCTTTGTATTTTATGAGGATTGAACCTATTACTTTTATCCAAATAGGAGTTTATTCTTACCATCTCAACTAAACTCTAGCATTTTTTTTGAAAAAAAAATTCTTTTAATTCATCTGATCTCTTTTCTGTTTCTTTAAGTACAAAATCATGTTTTCTTGTCATTCTTTCTGCATTTAATATGGACAAAGAGGGGAAGAAAATTTAACTCTCTACTTTTGCATGTGAGTAGGAACAACTGGAGCAGAAAAAGGCAGAATATGCAGAGAAAATAAAAAACAAAATAGCTACAATCCACAGGGAGGCTGAAGAAAAGAGAGCAATGATTGAGGCCAAGAAAGGTGAAGATCTCCTGAAGGCAGAGGAGACAGCTGCGAAGTTCAAGGCCACTGGAAAATCTCCAAAGAAACTCGTTGGTTGTTTCTAATGTTTCAATCCCCAAGCCAAAAATGTTGAATTATTATTGTGTATTTTCTTCTTTGGCCTTTCGAATATCAATGAGTGTGATTTGGTTTGTGTTGGAGATTTAGTCCATGTTCATTTCTTATGTGAGCACAATGATATTTTGGCATGTATATACGAACTACTTTGTGAATAATGAAATTAAATTATTCCATCTGTGCAAGAGTTGTAGCATGAGATCACTAACCAACTTCAGTATCTAATCATGTTAAGAGACTGTTAAAAACAATAAAAGGACCACGAAACCAATGATAATGGTAAAAAGTTATCATATGAAGTATTGCATTTCCATGAGGAAATATGAAACTATCTTAGTCACAACTACCATAAAGGGTATTGAGGAAACTTTCAGTCTGTCCTAAGGATCCTATCTCACCATCAGGCATGTCTAGGAAGTGATTTAATGCAGAATCAGAAGTATCAAGAAACTCATAATAGCCTGAATCTGACCCAGTTTTTCCATCTTCAAGCTTTGGTTTATAACTACTAGCTTGTTCTGGTGACTTGTTTGCAAAGGCACTGCTTCCAGTGTTGTTTTTGACCTGCAATGAGACATCTGAACATGACTCCAATTTTGAGGATGATGATCCCTGTGAGATGGGGCTTTGACATACTTCTCCTTTTCCTTTGATCATGCGAAATGACTGTCCTACTTCAGAATGCCAAAGTTGAAGAAAGTAATCCGGGTATGTCTCATTTGTTGACCATGAATTAAGCAATGCTGATTCCATTGACAACCTTGCCTCTGCCTCAACTCTTGCACTTTCCCATTGTACCATGTGACGTGTAGATGGAGATTCAGATTTTAAAACAACACCATGATCAGGACTGAAAGAGGGGTGTTGTGCCCCTAGGGAATGTCCTAACCGAGGGAGACGCTTCTTAAGTTGGGTGTTCCAATAGTTTTTAATTTCATTGTCTGTTCTTCCTGGAAGTTGGGATGCTATAGCAGCCCACCTAAAACACATGGGTGGTTACATTCAAAACAAATGCAACATGATTAGTATGGATCAATGCAACCAAGTAATGAGGAACAAGCATTGGTAATTACATGAGGGAATTGCTACAATGTCAATTCTCTGTGAAATTGAGTACCATATGTATTTTCACTAGGCTTATTACAGGCTTCCATTTCATATTTGACTGCTGCAAAGACTCAGATTTTACCACTTTACAACCTAAATAAACTTATATTTTTCTTGTTTCAGGACAACTGAAAAATTTGCCACCAGAATAGCATTTGACTAACATCAAATGAAAAATAATTCCAAAGACCTTGTCTATTTTAGTGTTTCAAATCCATTAGTATGTTTCCATGAAGAACATAAAGGTAGCTTTGCTTCTAGCTGTCCATTATGAGTAGTGGAAGGTGGTGGGAATAAAAATGCTTCTTTCAACAGGATATTTAACATTATTCAGAAACAATGGGGGTCTCTTGCTAAATGCTGAAAATTGATGGTTGAAACCTGTCCTTTCCCTTATGTTGTTTGTATATAAGGATCCTTGATGACACACATAATGAAAAGAATAACAAAACAAAATTGAGAAGATTAGACCTCCATGGATACTGAATTATCTATTTGAAAGGTAAACTTGCATATCACATATGCAGAAATGAAGAGAGATCAACTCATGTGCTGCTTTGAATTGGTTCAGCATATGAGTCTAAACATGATTGTTTTATTTATGTCTTTGGAGAGAGGTGGTGGTAGAAAATTCCAGAGACTAGAAACAGAATGAGTCACTATATAAAGGAACTCCGTTAATTCAAGCATTATCAATGTGGTAGGCTTCAGAGGATGCATCAAAATGTTAACTAAGGATTCAGCAGCTCAACAAATACAATAAACTTCCAGGGAGCAATAAGGGTGTGTGCATGTACAAGAAATTCAGCATAAGGAGCAATGTGTTACCTGTTTCCAAGCATGCCATGAAGCTGAATAATTGTACTTTCTTCCTCAGTAGTAAATTGACCACGCTTTATGTCAGGGCGAAGATAATTTATCCAACGAAGTCGACAACTTTTTCCACATCTAAGGAGACCTAGTAAGAGGCAAGTTTTGAACATTAGAGTTTCACTAATAGATATGTAAATTTCTATTATGAATAGAGATTATTTTAGACAATAGTTTTGAGTCTTGCTTTGAGATATGTATTCTTAACTTCAGATAGAGATACCTGGATACAAGAAAGGAATGTAGTGTTAAGAAATCACATCACAGCATCATACTGTATAATATTAGTTTATTCTTTACCCTAAGATTCAACATCTGGGTAAGACGGCTTTTTTACTCTTATAACCCTTTATTAATAATTAATTACCAAATTGACCTTCATTATAAACTATTTCAAAAATTTAACCCCCTCTAAAAACATAACACCAATCTGCCCCTGTTTGACCGTTGACCATCAAGCCTACCCGGGTACACCCCTCCTTACCCGGGTAGACAAAATACCCGGGTAAAGAGGGGTGTACCCGGGTATTGTTCTTGGCACCTGAAAAATTGTTTGAATTATTTACCCGGGTACGAAGGGGTGTACCCGGGTAAATCATCATAGAAGAAAACTCGAAACAAAATTTTATTTACAACTTATAAGAAAAAGAAAAGGAAAATATCTAATGTTTTCTCAATTTACAATGGGTTACTGAACTAAAAAATAAAAAAACTTTTTCATCTACTGGTCAAACCGAAAGTTCCAATAAATTGGAAGTGTCCCTTCTGTGTTCAGTCAACGTTATCTTCTCCCCCTTCATCTCATCATCTTCATGCTGCTGCATTATCTTGATGGTTCTCAATTGTTCTTGTTTTACAAAAGAACCCAACAAATGCCTCGATAAGGGTGTTGAAGCAACTAAACCCTCGTCGTCTTGTATGGCAACCACACAAGCACTTTTCGCTCAACTTTTCAAAGAACCCTTTATGCCCAACCTCTGGGGGGAGTGGACATTTTTCAGGTGCCAAGAAATTTACCCGGGTACACCCCTTTGTACCCGGGTAAATAATTCAAACAATTTTTCAGGTGCCAAGAACAATACCCGGGTACACCCCTCTCTACCCGGGTATTTTTTGTCTACCCGGGTAGGGAGGGGTGTACCCGGGTAGGCTTGGTGGTCAACGGTCAAACAGGGGCAGATTGGTGTTATGTTTTTAGAGGGGGTTAAATTTTTGAAATAGTTTATAATGAAGGTCAATTTGGTAATTAATTATTAATAAAGGGTTATAAGGGTAAAAAAGCCGGATAAGACCTATGGTTAAATATATATTGAATTAACTTTGCTATCTTTTTTGGGTGGGGATTAACTTCTCCATCTTTATTTTACAATAAGTGTGTCATCAACTTTCTTCTTCTTGTGTCAAATTTTCACTCTTTTCAGCTTACATAACTACCCCTAGAACATAATTTTGTAAACCATTTTCAAGGGGGAAAGTAGTACTGTGTTTATCTGCATATGTCATTATGGCAACCAAACATGGTTCATTGCGTAATTACTGTTGAATATATATATATATATATATATATTGAATTAACTTTGCTATCTTTTTTGGGTGGGGATTAACTTCTCCATCTTTCTTTTACAATAAGTGTGTCATCAACTTTCTTCTTCTTGTGTCAAATTTTCACTCTTTTCAGCTTATATAACTCCCCCTAGAACATAATTTTGTAAACCATTTTCAAGGGGAAAAGTAGTACTGTGTTTATCTGCATATGGCATTATGGCAACCAAACATGGTTCATTGCGTAATTACTGTTGAATATATATATATATATATATATATATATATATATATATATATATATATATATATACCACCTTACCATCTTTCCATTTATTTTGGGCAGGAAAAAATGAAGAAAATAAATTGTTTTCTTCATGAAGAATTTGCTGCAAAGAGAAAACAGCCAAAATCAACAATCGGTTTTCTTCATTAAGAAAACAACACCACATTGAGATTGGAGTTTCTTCAAGAACCAGAGTCTTCATTTAATACATAAAACCTTGACCAAGAAAGGGCTGCAGAAATTGTTCTTTTTAAGTTACGGAATCATTAATACAAGACCATAAAAGTGTTTTGTTTCTGAAGAACAAAAAGAAAAAAAAGAAAAAACATATCTACTTAGAACATTGGTCCATGTAAATTCCAGCTCCATGTTCATCAAGGATTTAACCAAGGAATGCAGGTGTACATCAAAGCAACAAAGCAATATCAAAATAAAAGACACCTACCAAGCTTTTCAACCATAAGCCCTATTTTCCCCTAGCTTCAAAAGTTCCAAAAGCACAACACTAAGAAAGAAAACAATCTATTACAAAAAAAAAAAAAAAAAAAAAGAAAGAAAACAAGCATAATACAGAAGCATAGAAGAAAAAGAACAAAGAATGAAAGGGCATATGAACTTTCACCTGCTTGCTTGGGGAGTGTACGCCAACTTCCATGGCCATGCTTCTTAATGTACTCAACTAATGCTTCATCTTCTTCAGGAGTCCAAGCTCCCCTCCTCACTCCATGTTTATCACAACATGGTGCTTTCCCCATCTTCACTACTACCTCATTTCCACAATAATAATAATGTCACTACAGTAATAATAATAATAATAACAACAAATCTTGCAAATCGTCCATCATCATTTGTAAGAAAGAGTGTTTCAGAAGAAAACCAAGTGATGGGATAAATCAATTGAAACTGACCGCAATAAATGCATGTGTGTAGGACAATTTGGTGGCTTTGAGGTACAGCCTTGCATTTAATACAGTACATGCCCTCTAAGGCAATGCCACAGGGTTCTCAATGACAACATAAATTGCAAAGTATAGCATAATATTGATAAAAGCAACCCCCGGAACTGCATGAGGGAGAAGGGAAATAAATGACAAAATATTCAGAGAAACTAATGCTGGTTTGAAAGAGAGACTAGCACAGAATAGAACCCCATTCCACCACTCAATTTTATTTTTTTGCCATATATTTTATCTATTTAAATTATAGAAAAAGTTATATTTATAAAATTTTTTTTTACAAACTACATTAAGTATGAGCAGTCATATTTCAATCAAGAGTCTATGACTGGTCATACTTAATGTAATTTGTAAAAAAAATTTATAAAAAAATCATTCCTCTTAAATTATAACATATGAACTTACGTGACATACAAATAAAGAAATTATGGAGAGAAAAAATGAATGTAAATGCAGTTAAGTGAGTAAAAGTTGATCCCACACCCACTTTAAAATGAGATCTTAATTTAATGTAAAAAAAAAAAATTATGGTATTTTATCAAAATAATGTTGCGAGACATTTACATGTTCAAGTTGTGTACGAAGAAGAAGATGTGGGACTTGCGCCTGGATGAATACACGCTTATCATGTGACAAGTTGCGCATCGATTCATATATGGGCTTTTTAACCGTATTAATGCCTTTTAGGAAAAAAAATATCGGTTGTTTAATTTTTTCACCAAACGTATTAAAACTGCGTCAATGACAATATATTCGCACACAACATGTACGTTGAATGCCACATTGCGCATGCGTGTTTGGTCGCACCAAGTGTGTGTTTCTGGCAATCAGAATGCCAAATTGTGTCGGCGTGGATACTCTCATATGAACAAGTGGTTATATGATCATGTTATTTGATCACAACCACTCATTGACGATGAGATAAGAGAGAGAAAAATATATAATTTTTCAAAAATAAGTGATTGTGATCAAATAACATGATCACATGATCATTTTTTCACATGAGAAGATCAACTCCCGTGTCGGGATCACGTGTCAAGTGCACAAATATATGTGTAGCCACTTGATGTATGTCTTTTTACATTAATCTAATAATATATTGGATTTTACATTTCTCATTTAATATGAGATTACAAAAATTTATACATACATAATTTAAATGGGTCCCATTATAAATAAAAAATAAAAAAAATATTACACACAAAACAATCTCTCACTGACATGAGAAAACAATTCCCTTGTTAAAAGAAAAAAATATTCTCCGTAATATATTTGACTAAAAACCTAAAGAAATGCTTTTTTTCCTTTGACATATGATAAAAACTCATTCATGTACATAGATCGATTTTTGTGCCATGTTTTTTTTTTTTTTTTAAATTACTGATCTTACTTTATTGTGTCTATAGCAATGAAGTGTTCTCTTGTATAAAAGGAGATAAACATTCCCAAAAACTAAACAGACGTAATATTTTGAAAAATGCATCAATATGATCAATAAGCCTCATATATGACTTCAACGTACGTACTCTCATGTACCTCGTACAAGTCTTATGATATTATTATGATATAATAAATGAATCTTGAATTTATCCTAAATTTTTTGTGTACCACTATCATCAAAAGGTCTTAAAATAAAGATTTTTAAATGAAAAAAGGGGGTTGATTGGTTTTGATGAATTGAACTAAAAAGTCATTTACTTTTGTCTGAAAATCCCTTGAATCCAACGTCATGGTTTGTGCTATCTCTTGCATTTTTTTCCATACTGCCAGTGCCAGAAGAGGCATTTTCTCTGCGGGTTCATTGCTGTTTTTTATGTGAAAAACATAAACCAATGGACAAAACTGAAAAAGGACAAAGCACTTGATAGATGGATCATAAATGGAAAAAATCACTTGAATTGAACTACGTACAATGAATGTTACATTGGCCCATTCCACGTGTTGATTTTTGCTGAGGTAACGATCAGTGTTACCATTAATGATGTGAATTGCAGAGGTACCTGATGACTTATTAAAACAAAAAAAACAAAAGTAGGTACCTCATGAGTCAAAGACTCAAAGGTATATATCAATGTAACTTTCAAAAGATTACATAGATCTCTCTCGAAGATGTTTATTAATCTAAAGCCTAGAACTCTCGAGCGTTGACCGTTCAATAGATATTTCTTTTTCCTTTGTTTGGAGGAAAGGTGAAATTTTTTTAAAATTTCAAACGAATAAATAAGAACATCTTGAATTTTTTTGTCTTCTCTATTTTTTTTCTTCTACCAAACAAGAGAAAATTCCTTTTTTTTTTTAAAAAAAAAGAGTCGTTTTCTTTTTTATCTCTCTACCCAAGTATAAGATATCCTTATACAGCTTATTTGTGAAGGGTTGTCATGGTTATATTGAAGATCTCACCGTTAATTAAAAGGTTAACGGTCACAATTTAAATAAACAAAATTGGTAAAACGAAAAAAAGAGGAATTGTCACTTTTTTTTAGAGTCTATCACTGTAATCCCATAAGTTTTATATGAATTAATTCAGAGTTTGGATAAGATTTTAAACTCTAAAACATAATATTGGGTAGGATTAAATATATATTTTTACCTTCACTTGCTCAGTTCTCAGGTAGTGTTTGGTTCGGGAGAAATTTTTTTTTACTAGAGAAATGTAATTGATAGGAAAATAGTTAGAAAGTGAGTTTGATAGGAAAATATAAAAAAAGTTGTTTGGTTAACCCAAATATTACCAGGGAAATTTATTTAAATATGCAAAATCTATGTTCGGGAGAAACTTTGCATCTGTTTTTTCACTTCCCCAGTCATCTCACAATACCACATCTCAAGTGGTATTCTGTAACAGTGAATTTCATCCAAAAATCAACACAAAAGTCATTTTCCCATCTATCCTATTTGTCTGGTATTTCTTGAAAAAACCTGAACCAAACGTGGTATTTTCTAATATCCATCTACACTTTCCTATCAATCCTAAAATAAACCTTCAACCAAACACTACCTCATGGATCAATTAAATTACTATCATTTGGTAGGAAATTGTCACTTTAATCATTAATCGTTGATTTGAGAAAAAAATGAATGAAATCTTTCACATAAATAAATTATATAACATTTTAATATAAGAAAATTCAGTAATATGCCGTCCAAGTTAATTAATATGTACGATTTAATTGAATTTTGGGAGTCATTTGGTAAATATTAAAACATCATGTTAAAAAAAATAAAATAAAATCTATGTAATCGGATTTTTTTTTTTACTTTCACAAACCCCAAACATTGTAGAGGCTCTTCAAATGTTTAGCTCGAGTGTGCTCACCACTTGAGTCTTGATTCACCCCATGTATTAGTTACATATGTTCTCAATATTATAATTTATCTAGACCCAAATGTTGGAGAGCCACAAAGACCCGCTAAAAGAGCCCAATAGGTCACCAATACAGGTTAAGAGACAACAATGAAAATGTTATCTTTTGGCAAAAAATTTACTCAAATGCCACAGAAATACTATATTTTATCAAACTGTCATGTAAGCATAATTCGTTACGACTGTTAAAAAATTATGTTCGCTAATAATTTTTTGATATGTGACACATTTTCGCAGAAAAAAATTGACGTGTCATAATTTGCTATCACTAATAATGAATTTGTTCTGCAATATGATTACGTGTAACGAAATTATTGGCCCCAAAGAATATCCTATTAACTTCTTAAATATTATCGCAGCAAGAAAACTCTCCCATAGTTTGTTTTTTTTGAGAAAAAAAAAACTTTTGTTCCTCTAGAAGGAGAGAATAGTGGGCATTCCTGGTCCACATGCTACAAGAAGAGAGATAGAAAAATAAAAGAGAGAAGAGAGGGAAATAAGAGGTGACTATTGAATATTTTTCCCTCTAAAAAGTTAGAAGTGTAACTTCCTTGCTATGTACTTAACCCTTGTTATTCATGGAAAAAAAATTTATGATCCCGACCCATGTAATTTTTTTCTGGTTCCACTCACAATCAATTTTTGTTGTTGACTATTTTATCTTTTGCTTTTTCTTTTATTTTTTTATTTTGCCCTTTACATGTAAGAGGAAGCATTTATATATTTTATGGGCCTGGCCCATGAAATAACTTCTCGTTATTCATGTGTATGTTATAATAATAAAAAACTTCTATTGTATTCAAAAAAAAAAAAAAAACTTCTATTTAGTCACCTAATAATAATATAAATGACATCAATATGGTCCCTTTAAAAGGAAAATACTTTCGCAGCTCTTGTTGCACCAAGTACTTGGTACAACTTTTATTAAATATAATAAAAAGGTTCGTTTTTTTTTTTTTGCAATAACTGCATAAAAATTATCTGCAATAAGTTCAATAAGATGTCGTTTTGAGGCGAAAATCATGGTATTTTTGTATTTTTAATTTATTTTAGGGCTATTATAGTCTTTATAATTATAATTTTTTAATCTTTCAATCCCAAAACGACGTCATTTTGAGAATAAATGCAAATAACTTATCTGCAGTAACTGCAGATATATTTTCTGATAATAAAAAGTAATAATTTTACATTATCCATATCTTTATAGTTATTTTCACCCATATCCCATATTTTTTCATTTGTGAACAAGGAATATGTACTCTAAGAGTCTGTGGCGTAGCCACATGCAAGCCAACAGGTGCCTTGACACTTGTTGTTTTTTTATTTATTTATTATATAATTAATTAAGGTAAAAATTACAATTTGACACTACCTAAATAGAAAATCAAATACTCAATACAAAGTAACAACAAACCACCTAAATGCAAACAAATAA